GGGTGGTGTGGTTAGTTTGTCAGTGTGCTGGGGTGGTGTGGTGCGATTGTCAGTGTGCTAACGCCATGCCTGAGGAAGTGATGCAGAAGGCTGCTATTGACTCCTGAAGCACTATGGGAAAAGTGAAACATGCCACTTGAGGAAGGTGCTCATTTTGAAATGGCAGGACTTTCAATTTACCCTTGCTGAGAGAGTCAGAGCAAGCGCGCTGTGTGAGTGCCCTTTCTGCTTCAACACTCTAAGCAGCCTCACCTCTCCACCTTCAGAAATGCGGGGTGAAATTTACTGGCACGTGGAACAGCCCCCCAGTCCAGCCCCCACCACCCCTCCTGCAGGAACCCTCTTCTCCGTCCCGCTGGGTCCCAGACTGCACAGCGTCCTCCCGGCCGTGACGCAGTGCCACGCGATGCGGCCGCCCCACAGGCTCAGAGGAGTAATTAGGGTTGTTTAGGTTATGCTCAGTGCTGGGTCTGTATCCTGATGACCAGTAAACAATTCCAGGGCCAACACCATTACAGCTGTGTCTTGCGAAATTCCTGAGGTTAGAATGACAATGAAATTGTCTGAACAAATGCACTCCATTTTCTTCCAGTATAATTTACTCTGCTCCCTCTGTGCATGTGTTCTGAACCTGAGCTCGCGAGGACGCGATTTCAAATCTGCGTTTCATCAGTTTCAAAACCATTTGTCACCCAGGCTGCTTCCTACGTAGTCTAGTTTAAAACTGTCAGCAATTCCTTCCAACTCACACCACAAAAACTTTTGCAGGACACAAGCAGAAATCCTGCATGTTGTTTCCTGTCAAAGCTATCCTTCAGGATGTTCCACGCCGGATTCTTCAGGAACCTGCAAGGACTCCCAAATTCTGGCAGGTTTTTTTTCTGTGGGTCTTCAGACAGCTTTTAGAAACTCTGCGATCAGCTCCAGGAGGAGGACTCCTTCACAGGACAGCCGAGCCAGCGCAGTTCACAGGGCAAGAAGAGGCCAGGCACAGAGGCGCTCCCGAGGCCAGCGCACTGACAAACATACCAATGACAAGAGGCCACTCGACCCCACAAGCCCATTGGGTAAATGACTTCATATCCGCTCTGTGTATCAGAAGAGTCAGTCCTAAATAGGACAGGATTTGCTTTCCTGGGGTCTTAAGAAAGTCCTGAACTGGCACTGACGCTTCACTGAATTCAAACAATTTTGCAGAACAAGCTCCCAGTACAGCAGAGAGGGCACCTCTCCGGCCCAACCCTTTCTCCCAGTGGCCAACCGCTTGGGCAGCTCTGCCTCTGGACGACTCGGATCTGGAGGTGTATGACATCTGAACCGCTTCCGAGCAGGAGCAAAGCTACGGAGTAGAGGAGCCCATCCACTATGAATTGATAACAATGCCTGCCCAATACTCAGGTATAGTTTTTAAAATAGTCAGGTTTGCAGACAACATCAAAATAAAAGGCCTGACACAGAGAGACAGCAAATGAAATTCCAAAAGGCTTAGGTAAAACTCAGTACTGGGCAAGCAGCTGGCAGATGAAGTTTAAGACAGGCTGCAGGGTTTTGCTTGCAGGTAGTAAAAGAATATAAATACAAAATGAGAAAGACTGAGCAGGAAGATCTTATGAATAAATACTGAAGTGGGACTACATGGGCTAGATGGGCCAGATTGGCTCCTCTTTTTGGGGTTAACTATTCTTTTGTGCCTGTGGGGTTATTAGCAGCTTACTCGATCCGACAGGCTCATCCTGTTATTTCTGAAGGGATCACAGAGATTCTGCTCCAGCTGACTCGTCTGCTTTCTGTCCAGACCCCTGTGACTCTTGGTGTAAAGGACTGTCAGCTGTTTCTCAGCCCTGAGTGCCGCCTGCTGTCCCAGGTCCTAGTCTTTATGCCGAGACTGAGGCAGTCAGCTCAGCGGTTCTGTTCCTGCCTTTCAGGATTCTGAGAACTGTGAACTGCCTGAACACAGTCAAAGTCAAAGTTTCAAAGTCAAAGTTTATTAACAAATGCACAACAATACAGCGTACAGCAGTAGTTGCTGGCAATGAAATGTCTTTTCTACGAGCTCACTGGGGGGATAAAAATCACACCATTAAAGCTACAAATAAGGTGACATAATAATACATAATAGTGCAATAGAAATTGAATAAAATAAACTCAGACAGAGCTCAATATAAATAGAGCTGCGGTGTGTCCAGGGTGTGTGCAATACATTATGTCCAAGTAGTGCAGTATGATGAATACAGTGAAAACTGTGTGTCCATGTAGCCATTAGGGGTGATTTGCGAAGGAACTGCAGCTTGGCTGCGAAATCTGCTGCTTAAGGAAGCGCTGTTTCGAAATGCTCCTCTCCAGGGGGTCGAACATCATCCCTGCCCATGTTTTATACCCGAAGAATGCGCCGCCCCGTTACCGCCCTCTGCTGTCGCGGGGATGTACTGTGTGTGCCCGACTGCTCCGAGGTGGACAGGCTAACTTCATACTCCTTAATATATAAATGAGTGTCTATTAGTGTGTGCACACATATATGACTGTATTCATACATACGGAAACTACACATATGTACAAGTGTTACATCTCCTTATAGTTTTCTGTACCCACGGGGAGATAAGCAGGTTTCTCTTTCATTCCAAACGTCTACTGATTTCACTGCTTCGAGTGGGTAATACAAAACACATTATCAAATCACCCATGCCACTGTAAAAACAACAACATCTCCATTTAACGGTCGTACTGCTGTATTTCAGCCAGTTATTTATCGGTTTCTTTGCAGAGAAATAAAGCTCGTGTTTTTGGTATCTTCCGTGCCTCGTGCGCCTCAGCGGGCTCGGGGTGGCTCGAGGGCGATTTTCTGGGACTTCGTGGGATAGCATCCACAGTCACGTGCCGTCACTCCCACGGCATCCGCGGTGCAGCGATGACCCGCGCAGAGACCTGCCCTGTACCCTCGGATCAATACCTACCCCCTCCTTCGAGTCCTCGCCTCCGAGTCTGCCCGTGTTCATCTGTGCAATAATACCGCCTGAACAGCAAATGGTTCAAGACGCGACTTGCGAGGGCGCCGCTGTTACTTTGAGGTATTACGTTATATACCGCGGAAGAAAATCAAAGAACTGCAACCCCGCTAAAATATTTTGCTCAAAATTCGTCAGATCTTATTGATATTTTGCGTACTCATGTGGATCACAGGACGCGCAAGAAATTTTAAATAAGAAAATTTACGAATTTTTAAGAAAATGACTTGAATTCAGCTGTTCATATCTGATGTCCGCTTTCTCACATCCACTAAAAACGCCTAAGCTGACTTCAGCTAAAATTTCACGTGATATTGTCATAACGTTGTCCCCAGCGGCGACCTGCGTCTTAAAACATCATTTCCCACGACACCATTAAGATCGTAGTGTCTTCTGGTAGTTGTAGTCATCCGTTCCTTTTTCAAGCGGCCGTTCGTGACTAGGGTGGGGGCGGCTTGAACTACAATACCCGTAAGGCACCGAGCTCAAGGCCTTTCCTGGACTTCCTGCCTAGCGGTGATAGCGGAGAGCAGAAGGGAAGGTCTTATCATAACAGACGAAAAACAACATTTAGTCAAACTTATGATTAGATCACCCCCGATCGCATAATTCTGTTCATTTGAGAAACCTGATACTTGGAAATAAAATGGTAAGCAAGTCTTTTATTTTATCTGCGACTCCGTTCGGCCGATGTCAGGACTCGATAAGAAATGAATGGAGGCCCATTGGGCGTTTATACGGTTTTAACCAGATCTTGAGCGTGTAATTACACCCAAAACGTCCTCTACTGGACTGAGACGACAGATGTGCCTTTCCTATGGGGCGTTTGACAATGATCGCCGATGAAGCGTATTCCCAGGTTGCGAGAATCTGTCGGGGCGGTCTGGTCGCTCTGGGCGCTAACTGCTACTGATCTCTACCTTTACTCTGGTATTCATTACAGGCGGATTGGTTGATCTTCGTGGGGGTATATGTTTGTCACACATTAATTCCTACTGCTGCGACAGTTGAATCCGTTTACTGTCCTGATCCCGAGTCCTGACCACCGGTTTCTGAGCTGTCCGCAGTGTCGAGCTGTCGCTTGCGATTCCCGCTCCTCCTCACCAGAAACTCTCCTCTTTCAGAACCTGCGCCAAGTGACCAGTTTCAAAGGTCATCCTTTCGACTGCTGTAATTTTGCTCTAAATCGAAGACGCGTTCAGTGTCCCTGTGCGGATTTCGGTACGTTCTGTCCCGTCGAGTGTCAAATCTATTGGCATCGACACACAGGAGAGTTTCTAAAGAGCCCGGAAAAAGGTCATTTTAAAAAACAAATACATTATCTGGTATAAATAATCGAAGCATATTTAATCAGACTGTATTATTTATTATTACATAGCACTTTTCTGGACACTCCACTGAAAGCTCTTTACAGGTCATGGGGACCCCCTCCACCCCCACCAGTGTGCAGCCCCACCTGGGTGATGCGCCAGTGCGCTCCCCACACACCAGCTCTCAGTGGGGAGGAGAGCAGAGTGATGAAACCAGTTCAGAGAGGGGGTTATTGGGAGGCCATGACTGGTTATGGCCAGGGGGGAATGTGTCCAGGACGCTGGGGTTATTCTCATTGGACTGCAGTGTGTGGAATCGAGCTGTTGGTGTAAGACTCCGTCCAGACAGCGGGGCCGAGAGACGGAGCCGCTCTGACCCTGTGCTGTCTCTGACGGGGCTCTCGATGCTGTACAGCAGTCTTTCCTCAGTCCCTTATCAGACCCTCCCTGTTTTCGCTGAGTCCCTCACATTCCAGGAAATTGTGGGGGTGTAACCCAGCACTTCCCTCCGCCCTGCTGTGGGGTGCCGTGGCGTGCGGTTCAGATCGGAGCTCTCTGATCCCTCTAGACCCACCGGGCCGGCGCCGGGGCAGGCAGGTTCTGCTGCTCTGATCCGGCAGCCTCAGCCTGGTGTTGTCCAGAGCCCCCCCCGGCTCACGCTGCAGGTGCAGGGTTCGACAGGAACATACTGGTAAAACACTGCTCTGACTTGTCATCTGAACTGCTCAGAGGAATAGCTTTTTTAAAACACGTTTAATGATGAATATTTGGAATTTCAGCTTTGTGAGCTGTTTTTCTCAGTTTTTGCTGCTCTTCTGGCAGCTCCTGTTGTTTTAGCTGTTTCATTTGCGTCCCGTTGCACCAGCTGCAGACCTGTAGCCCTTCGCCTGCTGCTGTGCGTTGCAGCTCTCTGGGCTGAATGTGTTTCCAGGAACGGGCTCTTCAGTCGAAACAGCATTTTAAATTCCAGCAGTGTAATTCGCCAGGAGCCTGCAATGGGACTCTTCCTCATTTCCCTCGAAGCTCTCTGGTGTTCCTCTGACCAGGCCTGTGCGTTAAGCAGGCGTTTGATGTCAGAGGTGAGACTGTCGGCGGTCTGATTCCTTGAAGTGTCGAACTCGTAGGCGTCTGTCTAGTTCAGGCTGCAGCGTGTGCAGAATTCAGAGCGACGGAGCCTGGAGACAGCGCCCACGAGCTGCTCCGCCTCTCAGCCCTGCCCTCCTCTTCCACAGATCCGATTCATCCTGATCCAGAACCGAGCAGGGAAGACCCGCCTGGCCAAGTGGTACATGCAGTTTGACGACGACGAGAAGCAGAAGCTGATCGAGGAGGTGCACGCCGTGGTGACCGTGCGGGACGCCAAGCACACCAACTTCGTGGAGGTGCGGCTCAGGGGGGGGGGCAGAGCACCAGCCCTGCTGCACGCCCACGCCTCCACTGGCTTACTGTAACTCCCCCATCCCACCTCCCACTTCCCATCCTGCTTTTGAGCTCCGTGGCCTGGTGACGGCACTGGGAGCCGCCTGAGGAGCTCTGACGGGAGCTCTCCCCAGAGGAGGGACAGCCCCGGTCTCTGAAAGGAGAGATTCCTTCCCTCCCTGCCCCTCACTGCCCCCTAGAGTCCAGGCGTGTGACAGCAGCACAGCTGCCTCTCAGTGAGTGACCCCTCTTCCTCTCTGTGCAGTTCAGGAATTTCAAGATCATCTACCGACGTTACGCTGGCCTGTACTTCTGCATCTGTGTGGACGTGACGGACAACAACCTGGCCTACCTGGAGGCTATTCACAACTTCGTGGAGGTAAGAGGGGCTCTGCGCCGCGGGACGTCCCAGCTGGGCTCGGGGCAGCAGTAAGGAACAGACGCAGGCGGGGTTCTGCGTTGGGATGGACTGACGGGGCAGGGGGCCCGGAACCCACAAAGAGGGGCCGGATGGATCTTTCAGTTCTAAGTGAACTACAGCAGGTTGGGTTTAACGTTCAAAAATCAAATTTACATTTTAGATGATAAAAGTCAAATTTATGCTGTCAAATACACAAAGTCTAATTTCTCATCATGAAATGTTTTATGTCTTTATTTTTGTAGGTTCTGAATGAGTATTTCCACAATGTCTGTGAGTTAGACCTGGTGTTTAACTTTTACAAGGTAAGACTCCAGTGGCACTAAGGTGTTCACACTTTGTGAATGAAATGTAGTTTTGATCATGCCTTTTGGTCATCTCTCAAGCCGATCACTTTGTGGGGAGTCAAAATAAAATTCATCGTTCCGTAGAAGAGAATGGATTAGGAAGCTGAGGACCAGGTAGGTGCAGTTGACAGCAGACAGTTGCTCCCTCCTGAGCACACATGCTCTCCACTAGCTGTGTACACTGTTGACACAGAACAAGCTTTTAACATTTTATTTATACCAAAAAGTCCAAAGACTCAGATGGCAAGGAATACTTCTCCCTTTTTACAACAAAACATGCCATAATCGCACTGTATAATTTTATATGGGAAATAGTGCCATCTTGTGGTCTTTGGTGAGCAGCCAAGCCTGCCTTTAGTTTCTCATCCGAAGGGCTTTGAACTCGCGAATGATCTGCAAAGCGATCTTAATTGTGTTCAATTATAACAGACTCAGCTACAGAAGTGCAATACCTACTTTATAATTGCATTCATTAACCAATACAGATTAAAACTTGTCTCAAATTTTTAGTTTAGTTGAGTAGATTGATTTGAATTTGGCATGCAAAGTGTGGGGGAAAAACTTTTCTGAGAAGCATAAGGTACTCAAAATTAACATTCACTCCATCTTTCAAGTAAAGAAAATAGATAGGACAGTGAAAGCTACCTGATAACATTCAACTCTGGAAAGCTAGTTTCAGAGTGAAACATGACCCTTCCCCATAAATGGAAATTAAACTCTTTCTAATGATCTTCCTCTAATCCCTGCCTGTCTAAACCCAGGAATCCAGCTGTTTGCGAGGTCTATTTCTCTGAGCGAGACCAGTCCACTAACCTGCAGGTTGCGTCCCCTGTTTGCATGGCAGGTCTACACAGTGGTGGATGAGATGTTCCTGGCAGGGGAGATCAGGGAAACAAGTCAGACCAAGGTTCTCAAACAGCTGCTGATGCTGCAGTCGCTGGAGTAGGACCTGCTGAGACGACCCACCCATTGGACACGCCCATCCAGGCCCCTCCCATTCCATCCCCACCCATCGATAGACCACACCCCCACTGTCTCCCTCCCTCTCTGTGAAACCGCTGTGTCAGATACAGCACTTTCCAGATCTCGACTTTTAATGGTACCTGGTAGTGAAACAACAGCAAAGAAGCATTTCATCTTACTTCTGCTGCTGGGATCTGAAAAGTCCAGCTTCACTGCAATAGGAAATGGACATCTGCCATTGATTTTTTTCCAGAAATAGTGGCGATAGTTTGTTCTAATCTGAAAAATAAACACATGGTTTAAAATTACCTGTACCTGTTGCACAGTCAGATATGACTGTGCAAATGTTGATGTTAAGATATCCCGTTGCGCAGTTTTCTTAGCCTATAAGGACCACCTCCTTGCTTTGCCCAGTCTGTGCTGTAGACTGGGGAGCTGCTGTATCTGACAGCTCAGTGGGCATCAGTCTGCCTTCAGAGTCCCCCTGCCCGACCTCTCCAGGCCACACCCCTTCCCGCCCCTCTTGCTCCAGACACTACTCTCCGAGGCCCACAGCTGCCTGGACTCTCCGGGAAGCACAGAAGGCTGTACAGTACAGCCCGGCCACTTCCACATGGTGCAGCCAGGTGGCACTGCTGCTGTCACAGCCCTGTGCTGGAAAGGAGGCAAGGATGGTCAGGCAGAGAGACGCCATCACTCCTGACCTTTTCCAGACGGGTGCGGTCTAGAAATTCAAATAAATGTTGCTACTTTACTGCACCTCTTCTGTGTGCCAGGCAGGGGACACTGCAGGTGTAAGAGGCTGAGAAACAAAACATTCTAGTTGACCTGCCAAGAGCTGAGATTCCAGAAGCCCAGCGGCTGGTCAGTGGTCTCCTGCCTGACGAGCAGAGCAGCCACAGTGCCCGGCCACGCCTGGCACACGGGTCTACAACAACACAGAGAGGCCCCTGACTCTGAAAGATACCAGTCGCCAGTCAGTCGGAGTTAATGGTCGTGTGCTAATTTTTTTATTGTTCTTTGTTGTAATGCTATGAACTTCTGTTTATGTATACTTTTCCAATTTTCTTGAGTTCTTGTGAGTTTGTGGAAAAAAATTGTGCTCAATTCCAACTCGTAAGCAGACCCTTGGTTGTTTTTTTTTTAATTAAAAAGGTGGCATTCAGTGGCAAGAACGTTGATGAAGGTCTCTGTGAGTGGGGGCGATCCAGCACACTGTAGCTGGCTGTTGCTTATGCACAGGAGGCTACGGGCTGTTAATTGCGAATGTGCATTAAGGCTCTGTTTTGTTGTGCAATGGAAGGTTACCGTGCTCGGAGGAAAATGAAGCTGAGGGTGACAGCTGGGCTGGTGGGTGGAGTCACATTTTGGGGATCTAACTCTCAAGCATGAAAGTATCTACTGAGGTATACATCATATTTCTATATGAGTCACTGCCAGTCCCTTCCTTGTACTTTAACACCACCTCAGTGCTACAGAGTGTAAACAGATCTGAGAATATAAGGAAAGAGGAGAAACAAGAAAAGGACAGAAAAGCTTTTTTCTGTGAAAACCTGCACCAAAAGGAGCAGTACAGTAAATATACCTGTTTTCAAGCAGTACTTCAGTGTGGGAACAGGTTTGAAATCCCGTCATCTGGGCACCGCCTGATGTCCAAGAGCTCGTAGGGCTCAAAGTGCTGGTTCCATTCCTCAGATTCAGAGTTCCATGCCATGGTTTTAGGAATAAATCTTAGTTTCCCCTTCTCAGAACCTCTTCCCAATTCCAATACAACCTTTGCACTGTAGACAAAGACAAAGGTGTAGCTGAGCCCGCTGAGAGAAAGATGTCTATTCAGACCACGAGAAGAAATTCACTCTAATGATCAAGACCCTGGGATGAAGGACCTCAAGTGGAACGTATAGCTTTTAAATCCGACTCTGGGGCTCGGTAACGAGGTCACTGCTGGTCTTGAACCCAGAGCCACCTTGCTGAGCGTGGATTGCTGAGAGTCTGAAAGAGGTCTTCATTTCAGATGTAGATTGTGTTTTTGTTTTTTTTAATTTTGTACCCTGAGATACAAATCAAGATATATAGTGCTGTATCAGTAGATCCTCATCCTGCCCAGTTCATCTGCGTGTGTGAGATCTGTGCTGTTCATGTTGTTGTGCCACTGAAGCCTTTGTGTCAACATATCTTCCAGATTCAGTCTTTATATGTATATACACATTACTAAAAATGAATGAACTCGTGTAATAAACAGTAAGAAATAAAATCGACTTTTCTTATTAAGTTCTTTTAAACATAAGTAGTGATGTTATTGGTATATATTTTTCCTAAATCTGGGAGTTTTGAGATTCAATACTGCAAGCTAATAAAACTATTTCTGACCAAGACTGAGGTCATTACAGTACTATTCCTAGAAGCCGCAGCGGGCGGATATGTTGTAATTGCAGACAGGCACTTAACCAAGAGCAATCAGCCATCACTGCTTAAACGTGTAGCCACAATTCTAGGATAAATATAAAAGTCTCCCATCCCAACTAAACTGAACAGTACAGGCCTTCCCAGTCCTGGTCCAGGAGTGCCGGTACATCCACAGGTTTTCATTCCAGCTAAATCCTCTCATTGAACTAATTCAGTTCAGATCAACAGCTTCTCCCAGCTCTTCGGGTGCTGCTACTGTCAGCCGCCAATATGATGCCCCTTTTCTGACTGGGGGAGCTCTTCGCAAAGAAGCCCTCTCAGTACGGTCTCTGCAATTTAAACATAAAACCGAACTGATGGCTAATTATTCCTAACTCCCGCTAATGCTGCTGTTAATAATTAAACGTTCCTCCTTACTGTTCTTCAGGGGGGGCAGAGTCGTGCAGCAGCCAGAGCCTCGTTAATTAGACACCAGGCAGCCCAGTGTGTGCAACCCGGCTGCAGCACGACTCCACCAACCTGCGCGTGACGAGAACACTGCGCTGCCCAATCACTCGCCAGCCCACCCCACCCCCACACCTCAGACTTCTACACTGATTATGAGAAACAACAGAAGAGAAATACAGTCCACAAAGTCCACTTGTTCTTGAACACTTGCTCTCCTTTAATTTGCTTTTAGTCACAATGGATATCAAGGTTCAGAACACTGGGTTTTTTTCAGGTAGTTTCCATAAATCATCATCACTGTTCTGCTGGGAAACAAGGAGAGAAAATAAATGATGATAGAAATTAACAATTTAAATCAATTTTCTGTTGAAGTGTCACAAAATTTTAAAAAAATCAAATCAATTCAGATTTCAGATGCAAAACACAGCCAACCACTGGTGCCCAGTGTAGAATGCTTTGATTAGGAATAAAGAATAATCAATGTAACTTCAGAAATCAAAACCTCAAATGTTATTTGAAAACTTAAAATGAGATCAGCCAGGAGAAACTTTTCACATGAAAAGTGCAAGAAATTAAACTGGTCTCTTTTAAAACAAGAATAAGATTTCAACAACTCTCCTCCTATAAAAAATGATTTTACAATGCTTTTTTACATAAAAGCTGTGATAGTTACTGCAATACTACATGCACTTCATGCACATTAGTTGTTCCTGAGTTATTGATGGTGATATATTATGAGGAGATGTGTTGCTATATTAGACCTTTGCTATATTATTACATCTATTTCATCAGCTTATAGCACAGTGTGTACAAATGCAAATTTCCCTAGCTAGGGGCATCTGTCAATAAAATTAAAAAAATATACAAATACAAAGCAAGATTCTACTATTTTATCACATTTTTAACTATATGGAAATTTTGTCTGGGTGAAAATTAGACTTTATTTGACTAATTTTATAAAGAAAAGGATTAATCAGTGAATAGCATTTTGAAATAAGAATACTGAATTTCCAGTATTACTTTGCTGCAAATTAACAGTACAGCCTCCTCTTTGCAATTATGATAAAAAAAAGCACTTCATTGCCATCTAGTGCCCATTTTGTAGTAATGCATCCACAGGGAGGATAATAACTTAAAAATTTAACTACATCTAACTATCGGAGATCCGGAGCTCCTCTCCGATACAAGTTCGAGTATAATTTTACCCAAATCAAGAGTAAGCCTTCTACCCTCTTGTCCGTTGTCCAGGTTCATTATTCCACAGCTGCTTCTCTGGAGTGTTAGTAGCAGAGACAGTGAGAAACGTATCCCACCAAAGAAGATGTGGACATACTTATCTGTATCGCAGACATGGGAATCACCTGCCTTCATGGCATTCCTGATCTCAGGTGTTTAACACGGCAGTGCCTGCTTTTGTATCCTCCTCTCCCAGGAAACACTTCAGGCGCCTGAGACAGCAGCAAATGCACAGCACCAGGCCCATGGAGAGTCAGTGGCCATGAGCCATCCATCTACCCAAATTTGTGTCTGTGCCACAGCAAGCAGTTACAAAATTGCCACAGAAATTAAGTCAAAGTAGCTGTTTGAATATTTGCCCTGCCATTTTCAGGATGGTACAAGAATCTTCAGTATCTGTGTGTTTTAAGAAACATCTTGAAAACTGCACTGAAAGACAGTTTGAAAAACTAATGATTGAGCAGTCTTAAAACAGGACACACTCAAAACAGTGGCAAAAAACCTTAAATGCTGGATCAAAAAGATCTTTCTTTAGGAATTAAAAGAGGGCCTTGAGCCATCTGTACCATTTCAGAGACTGCTTAAAACAGTCTTTTTGGTGGAATTATAATAGATTTCAGGAGCAGTGCCTTTAAGGGCTGCTGTTAGCTAACAGTACTTAGGATCTCATCCATCTTTTTCTAAAAAACAATTCCAGGTGTTTGTTTTGACAGCTTGGCTGGGTAGTCTGTTCCAGACTGTATTCAGTGATTTGATATTGCACTTCATCCAAAGCACCCTGAAACATGGAGTCTGTCACCAGTGCTAAGAGAAAGAAATACAGTGCAGCAAAGATTACCTTTTTGTCTACATGGGGTGAGTTGCTCACTGCAGACAGAGCCCGCCTACAAACTCCGGACCACTATGCAATGTGTAGCTCTACAACATACAAACACACAGTTAACAACAGAAAGAGAACATCCAGAACACACACACATGGGCAGAACATTAGTATCTCCTGTAGTGAACAGAGTATCAGCTGCAGATGAGCTAATTCTCAAGGCGTTGTACCAGCACTGCAGAGATGAAACTCTGGTAAGCCATACGCCATTATCCACATCCCTTTCCTAAGAACACAAGAAATCTTATGAACAAGAAGAGGGAATTCAGCCTGATAGGTACTGTAGTTAGTAGTTAATTGATCCCAAGATCTCACCCTGCTATTTCTAGAAAAAAGCCAGGATATCAACCCCAATAACATGGCTGGGTATTTTGTTCCATACTCACAACCATATGGGTAAAGATTTACCTCCTGTTCTTGATTTTAAATGCACTTCCACATAGTTTGCACTTGAGGCCCACTGTTTGATCTGAAATGAGCAGTTCTCCCATTCTGCAAACATGCAGCGTAAACCGCAAGCTGCGAGGTACAGTTGTACAGCTACAGGTTGGACAGCTGAAGCTTCCCAGCCTAGGAGATGCTTGACCAATTGAACTGGGGAAATCCCACTCAGGGAGGGTCTCAGAGGGGTTAAGTCACCCATGGACCCATGGCAGATGCACAAACAGCAGCTTCCGAACACAAGAACAGACATCTTTCACTCCTCTCTCATTCTCACAGGCATCCTCTCCCCAGATAGGAACAATAATCCTCGTCACGAACTGGCGTGTAGTGTAACAGCAGTGGTTGGCAGAACAACGCAAGGTCTAAAGAGAGCTTTACAGTGTTCGTGGGAAACAACATGTCTACACAAAAGCTGAACGTACAGAGGTCTTAATACCCAACAAAGAAGTAATAAAATCAAGGACAAGAAACAGCAACAGGTATCATCCAAATCTTTAAATTCACAAGGGAAACAAAGGCAACTCAAGACTTCAAACATATTTACAGCATCAGATATACAGAATCTTAGCGATTACAGTATCTTGGTTACTAAGCAACAACTGAGCCTGCTTTCCAGCAGCATGCTTGAAGATAATTTGGGTTGATTTGTATTATGGGGGTGAGGCTGGGGGGAGGATTCCTGGTCACATGACTACTGTGCAGTACAGTGCTGAATTCCAGCCCAAGTGAAGGATGATATTTGACCACAAATGTTGCCCTCCTTCTACTAGTACAATATGCCTCATGTGCTTTCTATCCGATCCCCCCAGGTCTCCAAGGTGATTTCCCTGCTCGCGCTCCGGGGAAAGTCTCACTTCCAAATGGACCAGAAGGACTGAGCCTCAAGGTCAGTTCAACAAACACCTTCAGGAGAGACTGTTAACATCCCCACATTTCCCAGCTTGCAAGAAGTCTCCTTCAGCACCGCTTCAGCAGCAGGCAAAGCTTGCTCCTCATGTGGGTCTTTCCCCCGATCTGTCTGAAAACAGCACAGAGCTCAGTTGTTCCTTAGCAAGGAATGATTTTTTTATTCCATAATTGTTAGACGAATAACTTCATTTATTTTAAGATCAATGTACAGGTAATTCAAAGTTTACAGTATTTAAAAGTAAACAATACAAATAAAAAAAGAGTGCATTTTGAAAAAAAGATGAACTCAGACTGTCTGTTACAAGCAGATAACGTCACACAGTCACAGTATTGAGATACAGGCACAGCTTGCACTGCTGTCCTCTGCAGTACACACCTGTCTGACCCAGCACAACTGGCTATCCTTAGTGCAAGCCCCCTCCATCCCACAGCAACACGGCAACATTGCCACGGCTTCTGTAAAGCCCTCTGGTTATCCTTCTTACTACATTTTCGCAGTTATTTGCTGCTCCCAGCCCCTGATTCAGCCCCTTCTCAAACTCCCATCATACTCCCTTAAGAGAATTGAGTATAGTCACCCCTCTTTGAATTTTACAAGCTGAAGGTGAGTTTGAAACTTTCTTAGTACAGGTACAAATGTGATTTTTTTTTTCTAAAAGCATCAGCTGCAAATAAGCACTCCTAGCCTGAAATGCACATGACGAAGACTCTGGACCATGCTCACATAGCGCAGAAGAGGAAGAAAAAGAGCAAGGCCAGGATAAGAGGTGTGCTCAGAAATCAGGAATCGGCAAAGCTACACTACTGTCAAGCTACCTCCATTGTTACTGCAGCCATTTTAAAACTGGTTCAGAGAAACACTGCGAAAGCTGCAATTCCTGTTTAATACAAATACCAAAAGACATTCCTAATTAAGTTCATTAATAGGTATTAACAGACACATTGAAAGGAAATATCAAAATCCTGGTCAGTTTCCTTTGGCTGTACCTGCTTTATACAACAAATGAACAAATTACAGCATCTAGTTTCTAGCCAGTCTATAATACACCTGCCAGAGAAGGTAGATGTTTTACTGGTAATTCACTGCCCTGTCATAAAATCTGTACTTCCACAGGCTGGGCCTCAGTGCTCTGGAAAGCATGAGTCTTCAGCCTTTGAGCTTGTGCTGCTGTACGAGCACTGCCACGCCCATTTCATTCTGCTGATGAGAGAAGAAGACTCCGCACAGTGCAGTGGTTAGCACCCTCTGCCCTCAGATATTACCTACACTATCACGGGGGCTTATAAGTTTTACTACGGCTTGGTACAGACATGTTATCTATGTTACACTAATGTGCCTATGTGGCTGGCTGAGAGGCCAGATCAGTGTTAGGTCCTGGTCCTAGAAGCACAAAACATGAAGTATTAAATCTGCATAAGTTATCACTTAACTAGAGCTTTGATTTCAATGTGTGCAGTTGTTTAAAACTGAGGGGAACTTCATCTTCAGGTGTTTATGTAACTGGCACTCTCTTCTTCCTCTTCAAGTAACCTCTGATTTCCACTGACACTACAGCCAGAGACGCCACCTCACTTACACCATGCTGGTGTACAATGGACTAGAAGAACCTCAGCAGACGGGGTTTGTTAGGCTCCGGCCTCTGCTGCAGACGTCAGACAGCTCATGAGAAGAGGCAGTCCATCTCCAGCGCCCACCGGGGTGTAAATGGAAAGTGAGTGCATTTAAAGCCGAAGAAAGACAAACTGCTAAAGCAAATAAAACTGCTGTGGTTGCAAAACATCTCTTTCACCCAGGGCAAAAAGCACCCAGACAATATCCCGCTTCATAACAGTGCTCAGAAAAGAAACAGCTAACAATAAACATTGCAGCTTGGTCTGTAAAATAAAACTGCAGAGCAGGATACCAGAGCATAACAGCACAAAGGTAGTAGAACCAATTTCTGTACATTTGTTTTACTAATAGTCTATAAGCAGATATAGTTTTAGATAGCCTAGTTGTAGTATGATTGTATGATTACATTCTGTACATTATAAACACGGAGAAGCATTTACACAAACAGATGACAGTCTCTTTATGGACTAATGGACTCAACTTTCACAGAATGCTGCCATGCAGACTTCCTTCCTTTGTGCTTTCAAGTTGCTGCCGGTATGCTAACAGATCCACTCAGCTCTCTGGCAGTTACAAATAAGCAACACTTCAGATTCCTGCCGATATGCAAAGGGTGCAAATCAAGAGTGTGGTTACCTTTAAAGAGCAGAACCCTGCTGATACACTGTAGGCAATGCAATGGTCTGAGAAAGACAGGCGACTTGGATTTGAAAGCCCTAGCTCTTTGATCTTGCCTGCACCTGGATCTGCTCTAAGCTCCTCTTAAGGCTTTCCCTGCCATCACATGGCCCCAGCATGCTCGTCCTCCTTCTAGAGCAGAGGCCTGCAACCTTGGCCTGGTCTGCTACACTCCTGCAGGTCTGAGGAGGAGATTCAAAAATTCAACGAGAAAAGACTTGGGAAACATGATCACTCAATACTTATCAAAGTAAATCTATCAGCTGGAGTAAAAACCAGAAAACACTGTAAAAGGGTGTCTCACTGAGTGACTGATCCATGTGGTATTGTCATCCGCTCGGCTTTAGCAGGTTAGTGAACCTCAACAGTGTTGTTCAGAATACTTGTGTAGACTAGTTGTCTATACAGTATGTGTGAAGCTGGTGGAAGGTATCTATTATTTTGCTCTCAGCACAATTTTAACAGCAGCCTCTTCATAGCTGATGAAATACTCGTGCTACTTGGTTCTCGTCCTTAGTCATGTGCTCTAAAATATTTATCAGGTGGCATTAGCATTTTTCCAGCTTTGAGGAGGACTGCACTGAACAGCTCCCAGATCCTTTACCAGACTAAGAAGGGCTGTAAAAACAGAAGATGCTCATTTGCTTGTAAGGCAGTGCTTTGATCCCGTTTTGCAGTCACGTGTGCAGGTTGCTGTAAACACAACATACACACACACCCATTTCGACTGCATGTGAACAACCCAGGACAAGATGCTGCCAGATAAGATCAAAGTCCCTTCAATATTGCACATCAAATCAGCATTCATATTTCAAAAGCAAAAAGAAAAAAATCAAGACAGGATTTCCATTGCTGGTCCCACTTCACCTCCTCTTTTCTGTTTTCCATTTCCAATAAATTTGACTAACTGTTTTGTCGTTTCTCTTCACTGGAAAACAACGCAAGATCTGGGGTTTAGCCCTTTATCAGGGTAATTAAGGCATCCAACACAGCTCAGCTGGAGTTCAGAACAGCAGACACAGCCCTCTTCACTGACCAGTCTGGAAAGCCCTGTCTACAGGACAAGCAGCAGAATGCTAGTGATATCAGGGCCACACAGTGTTAAAACGAAGGGGAAAATCTTAAGAGGAGTAAAGACTCTGTGAGAAGAGGCCATTGAGTTCTGGTCTCTAGGATTAAAAAGAAGCACTTTCTCAGACCCATGCCTGCCCCCTTTCCCCAGTGTAAGTGGCTGAAAGAGCCCCGGGCAGAGAGATGCCCACCGTGTACCCCAGTGACCAGTGCATTGCCTGCCGCAGGACATCCCAGGCTCCCAGCGGAGGTCGCAGAGAAATCCGTAGAGGTCAGAGGTTGCGTGGCAAGGCACGCCATCCCGGAAGACAGGAGCCCAGGTTGCAGGAAGGGGTGGGTGAGCTTCCGCAGAGGGGGGACGGTGTGTTAGAGGGGTGGGAGGAGGGTTTGCTGCAAAACCAGTCACAGACAGAGCTGAAGGAGAGAAGAAACAGGAGAAAGGGTGAGCGGAGCTCGCCTCGAAACAGAACTCCCTCCTCCGTCACACATAAAGCTAGTGCACGACAGAGATGGGCTGCTTGCTCTGTTGCTCGTAGGACTGGGTTAGTTCATTAATGTCATCAGTGCAGCCTTCAGTCTGAAGCCAGCCAAGCCCAAGACAGATCTTGCGGCAGAAATGGAACAAAACCCACGCAGTCCCAAACTGATGACTTTAGCACAGCTCCCACAGAAGTTACATTTCAGTCTGTGTATCTGACTGTTCGCCTCATGTTTCATCGGCTCTCCGGGCCTCAAAACGTGAATTAACATTTACTTTTCAACCATTAACCACTGATACAAATCCAAGGAAAGTAAAATACCACAAGGGAGCCAAACAGTAGGCCAGCTAAGCTGACTGTTTAACAGGGAAACCCAACCTGGGGCGCCTGACGGCCACGGGTGCACACTGACCTGGGCTGGGTCCTGCGCAGGGGGCCAGACCAGCGCCTAGCAGCTGCACTGCTGCTTGCTCTGTGCCGTGGTGCTGCGCGGCTGCCGCAGCTGCCGCAGGGAGGCGTCTCCGTACTGGATCCCCGAGCCCATCCGTTCCGGGTCCAGCTCACCTGCCAGCGACAATCAGCTCTCGTCAGTGGCGACGTCAGCCCACAGCCTTCCAGGAGAGCCCTGGACACTACATAGGCTTCCTCCCCCTTGCCTACCCAGCCTTGTCAGAGCTGGACACCTGCAACTGCAAACTTGCAAACTGCGTCACGTAAGCTTCGGAACAGACCTTGTAGCCAGTCAGAGGTAAAAATACTTCTAATAAGCTTTGATATTTAAAAAGAAATGGACATGGCAGATGCGAATTGAATCAGCACTGATCAGTGCATTTCACACCACAATAACAGTAAAATGTCCACAGTAACATGTAAGACCTCCAATTTACATCACAGAACAGGTGAAATTTCAGTTCCCCCTTAATGCTGGAGTAGGAAGGTGCATTTTAATGACTGCATCGATCATCAACACAATCAATGAAGTAATCAAGGTGACTCAAGTAACAGACTGTGCGGAGTGCTCTAAGGCTGAGCTCCTACCCGACTCGATCTTGTTCAGGATGGTCCGCGCACACTTCAGGAAGGCCTCCTCCACGTTCTCCCCCGTCAGGGCGCTCGTCTCCAGGAACATGAGCTCTGCCGGGCACCCAGGGGGAAGAGGTCACGAACACCACAAAACAGCTTGAGCCGCATAAACACAGCAGTGTTCTGCGCTGTTTTATGAAAGGAAAAACTGACCAGTAGATGCAAGTACAGCAAAACCAGACTGTCAGGCCTCCAACTATTCAAATTACAATTTATCAACAATGCATTCAGAATTGCATGTTTTCCTCCCACTTTTAAAAAACATTTTATGTTTTTTTAGTGAACTGATATAAAATATCCAGGTTCACTAATTAAATTAACTGAATTAGTATAAAACCCCAGATTAAGACAGGACTAGAATAAAACCAAAGTGTCTTCTTTTCTTTACTGCTTTCAAAATTGTCAGTTCTGAAATGTGTACGAGTCTTTATTTCATTCTGAGCATAAATAAAATCCACCAGTTACTGTGTCAGACCAAGAGAGCGACAGCAGGCCTGGGACACGAGAGCAGACAGGTTACCGTTCTCCTGTGCGAAGCGGGACGCCTCCAGGAACGTCACCTCTCTGTCTGCGTCCAGGTCCTTCTTGTTCCCACACAGGATGATGACGATGTTGGGGCTGGCCAGCGTCCGCGCGTCCGTGAGCCAGTTTGTCAGCGCGTTGTACGTCTCGCGACTGCGGAGCAAGAGAACGACAGGCATACAGAACGTGGGGACAGCCCGCCGGACTAAAGCCACCAGCACTCACAAATTGCTTTTCTGAATCTGTGTTTAAGGCGATTAATATATGGCTACTAAAATATTTTTAAATTAAAAAACCACAGTGGCACGACCAGCGCACTCTTGTTAAACTCACAATGCGCAGAGCGAAGAACAAAACACTAAATATACTGCCTTCACAGTAAGAAAGTCAGAATGCATCACGGTATCCTTTTCCTAGTGTCCACTTCTAACGATGTCCAGGAACCTGCTTGAGAAAGATGCGTGCCAACGCGCTGGCAGCCGCTCACCTGGTGATGTCGTAGACGAGGAGGGCACCAGCTGCCCCACGGTAATAGCTGCGAGTCACAGACCTGCGGGCCACAGCGGGAGAGGGAGAGAAATGGACGAGAAGGAGTCATGTTATAGAGAACAGTCCTCCTGATCTCCTTTAGAGCTACAAAAAAGGTAAGGGTACAGTTTTTAAAATCAACGCCTATACTGAGCTGCTGCACACAGATATCCTGCTACCAGGAGCAGAGCCCTCAGGGGCGGAGCAGTGGCTCTGTGGCTCAGGATCTGCGTCTGTGGCTGGAAGGTTGCCGGTTCGTATCCCGCGGCCGGCAGAGGAATCCTACTCCGTTGGGCCCCTGAGCAAGGCCCTTAACCCCAGCTGCTCCAGGGGTGCTGTACATTGACTGACCTTGCGCTGTGACCCCAACCTTCTTGTATGTATGTATGACTCTGTATGTGTCTCATGGAGAGCAAGCTGGGGTATGCGAAAAGATGAATTCCTAATGCAAGAAATTGTATAGGGCTAATAAAGTGATCTTATCTTATCTCGGTCCAGTGGAAAACCAACAGCTGCTCTCCCTCGCTTCCTTTTTCCTGTGCTTAGATGGTTCAATGGTAGACTTTCAGCAAACATCTCCAATGGAGACTATGTTGAACATCATCATCAACTGCCAGAAAGGTTGATGGGAATCCTTTACTGGACTTATTGGCTGTCCAATACGATTCACCACTCCTCTGGCTGGCCAATCACAACACCCTGGGGGAATTCCGCCTCTCTTTTAGAAACTCAGACCAGCCAATGGCAGCCTCTCATGATATCTGTCCAATGAAACCCCCATCACAGCTCAGGCGATCCATTGGGACCTCTTACCTGAAGCGCTCCTGTCCGGCTGTGTCCCAGATCTGCAGCTTCACTGTCTTTCCCCCGACGTTGACCACCCTGGAACCGAACTCCACCCCGATGGTGTGGTTCGAGTCCTGTTTGACTGGAAAGCAAAGGAGACCATGCTTTCTATGTCTAATTCCCAACCGCCAATCTGGGGCATCCTCTTCTCCACAACATAGTAACATGTAAAAATACATCACGTGATCCATTAAAAAAATACAAAGTTGCCAAAATATTTCAATTTTATACCTTAAACTGATAAATATATTCTTACAGCAATGAATAGGATCTTAGATCTAACCCTCCCCTCCCTGTCTTAAAGAGAGAGCTTAAAGTGCTGCTCCCAGACAGTGTAGGTGCACCTGACTGACTGTTTTTCTTTATGTGCCTCACTGTCATTTCAAAACTGCCAGGTTGCTGTCAGCCGCCTCCAGAACTTTATTCTCGGGAACATCTGACATATTCATGACTCTTAAGACAACAGAGCACCTCTCTCTGTAGTTTTTCCCTGTTGGGACCAAGTGGGCGGAGCGGTGGCTCTGTGGCTCAGGATCTGCGCCTGTGACTGGAAGGTTGTTCAAATCTCACGGCCAGCAGAGGAATCCTACTCTGTTGGGCCCCTGAGCAAGGCCCTTAACCCCAACTGCTCCAGGGGCACCGTACAATGGCTGACCCTGTGCTCTGACCCCAAGCTTCTCTCCCTGTCTGTGTGTCTCATGGAGAGCAAGCTGGGGTATGCGAAAAGACAAATTCCTAATGCAAGAAATTGTATAGGGCTAATAAAGAAACATTATTACATTACATTAGTGTTTTTCAGGGGTGGGGAGGGCAGGCAAAGTCTGTTCTATAAAAATACTACATGGTACACTTTTCAAAATGTTGAATAAACCAACCTTTGCACAAGACAGAAAGGAGATGGGTGATCTTGAGATCAAAGACCAAAGCCACACCCCACTGTGCTGCCCACAACACTTACATTTGTTCTCAATGAACTGATGCAGGAGGCAGGACTTGCCCGTCCCAGCACTGCCGATCACCAGGAACTTGAACAGGAAATCTGCAAGGACAAGGACAAGGAGAAGACAGAGGAGTTAAAAGCACGTCTGTGTCCAGACTGTAGCCTCTGTGCATCTCCCTTCCACCACTCGAACAGGGAGCCTTGTCAGATCCCCACTCCAAAGCAGCAAGACTGCCTTCAGGGTTCACACGATGAAAAGCCTTTTCATATTCCTGCAGGTTGGTCTAAACTTGCAAAGTTACTCAAAATAAGGCAGAAAATATTCTTAGTATATCATGCCTGATGCAGACTTAAAAGCATGAAACTCACCAGCTAAAATGTGCCAGGGGGCTTTACAGTAGGAATCTTATATACTTTGCAAGCAGAAAGTCCTGTTTAGGACTTTAACTGGTCTCTTTTAAAACAGGAATAAGATTTCAACAACTCTCCTCCTATAAAAAATGATTTTGCAATGCTTTTTTACATAAAAGCTGTGATAGTTACTGCAATACTACATGCACTTCATGCACAGGGCTGCAACACAGAAATGACACAGTAAAGAAGCTGCTTGTGTAAAGGGATCAGTGTTTCCCGTCTGTCCTGGGGTGCAGTCTGCTTTAATTAGGGGTTCACGCCATTTTATTTGCATAGCAGAATAAAAACATGGCAATGTGGTAACTACAATGCAAAATTGAAGGTTGCGACTGGCGTCTCTTTACTAACAAGGGGCTGAGATCTGGGGTGCAGGACGGAATCAGTCTAGCTAAGCTCAATACAGAAGAGTCATGATGTCACTCCAGTGCCAAAACCAGCCAATTTAAATAAGTCAGATTTAACATGTCAATTTTATATTGTTACAATGAAACCCAAACAAAAAAACTCAAACAGTTCCTCGCCAGCGCACTGTACCTCCTAACTATGTTTATTTAAAACTGCCAATATGCAGGAACAGTTCTCCTGTCTGCTTCAGGTGAATACAGGTAAAGCAGGATCTCTGTTCATCTCTGGCTGAGGAGGCAGGAAACAGACGCATTCACTGCTTAGAGCATAAAGATTACACTAAAACCGATCACTCAGATAAGCTCTGCAGCAGCGCAAGATGGATGGCAGGGAAGTTTCTCTCGGGGAGTTTGCGGACTGCTGCTGGCTCTGACTCGTCTGTGCCTGGGGCCTGGTCCACACACACACAGGTGTGGTCTTGGTGATGATAAAGACTGATTTGTCCCCCCACCCCTGCCAGCTTTGCATGAGACTCAATGACAACTTTGTGTGGCAGGAGTCGGCGCATTTGCATGCCGCTGAAGAGCATCACCAGCGCGCAGCCCTAGGAACAATGGGCATTGTGTCCGAGTCACGATGTCACAGCCACGGGCGCAGGCTCCAGACAGGGCAAACGCACGCAGCCCACCCAGGCGGACAGACTGGCCACTGTGAGATCGCAATTCTCTGCCGCCAGCTTCAGTCCAGACAGGAGAAGCGGGACAGAGGTAAACACAACCTGCTGGACCCTTCTGTCTGAGCAACTGGCCACTACATCATCGCACTTACAGGAAACACTGGTGTGCTTTAACACTCCTAAAATCAGACTGAACCCAACACAGCTGTACACACAGATCACATTTCTCTTGCAGCTCATGATAACACATTGTATTCTACTACACATCACAACATACTTGAAACACTGATTTATTAACTTAAAAGTGCTACAATCTGTAATGCAATTCAGAATTAGAAAAGGATGCAATCCTGTTAGCTCTCCTGGTCAGGACTCTTCAGTTCCACCAGGGTCAGGTTGCCCGCGTGTAATGAAAAAGGGAGGCATGTTTGGCTAATCCGATATGGATTTGATCATTTTCAAATTCCTTGGGGATATTAAGAACTCATCTTTACATCTGTTCAACAACAAATATTTCAAGTCCAGGAAGAAAGTCAGAGAAACGAGACTCAAGCCTGGCCTTAAAGGAATGTCTGACCCTGAGAAGCTCAAAGCTGGAAAGAATACCAGACTATCCTGACCCAGGGGTTCACAACTCTCCAAAAGCACTGACAGTCAACCCAGTGCACTTCTTCAGCATGAGCAGTGAAACACAAACCACTGGACACGAGGAAAACTATGGGGACGACCACTGTTTACACAACGGGTTGTTGGAGTCTGGAACAACTTGTACAGCCATGTTCTTGAAGATTATACCCTGTCTTTTTTCAAGAAATAAAAGAAGAAGATCCTTAGATCGATTAACTATTAGCAGCCAAACAAGCTGGATGGTCTCATTTCTGATCTTTCTCATGTTGTTTACATCCTCGTCAATTCAACCTCAGCTCTATGCCAATGACTTCTTCGGTCTGAACCATAAGTGAAATTCTCTGGGAAACTGTAGTTCAGTAACCCAATAATCATGTTGCCAGTAGCCTCTTAAGCATTCAAAGGTTGAACATTACAGAAAAGTTTTAAACCCAAATGTTTGTTTTCAATCCATGTTGTCATGACAACAGAAGTATCACATTCTAAGCTCAGTTAATATAAAGTTAAAAGACAAATCACACCTCTGAAGGACTAAACCTCCACGTTGGCATTTCCCCAGCAAAGCTGAATGTGTGGTCAGAAAAGTGTAAGACAGTAAATCAACACCCCAATCGCACACAAGCAGAAGGACAGCTATCTTCTGCAAACACCACCAAAGCTTTGTGTTTTTCAGATAAAACCTTTCTGATAAGTTCTCACTGCAGCAGAAATGTCACCTTTCTTGGAAAAACAGTTCAAACCATGAACAAACAGGAGAAATCAAGCCAGAAAGGGGACATCATGTATACACGATCCTTCCATTCAATATAAATACACAAGTTGACCAAAGGGTATTAAGACAGGGATGCTCACCCCAGGCCTAACTGCCTTCAGAGCAGACAAGGATTTGGGCTTCAGGTAGCAGGAGCACCCCTCACTCTTACTCTTTGGGTTTTAAGGATTAAAGAGGAAAATACCAGAACAGGTACCACTAATCGTTAAGAGTATAAACAAACATGCAGAGCTTGTGTAAACAATGTAGAAACACAAGAAATAAAATTCACTTAGACCCTGTTTCCACTGGCCTTCTCCAGCTACAGGCTGAAGGGTAACCAGGCCTGTCGCTGCCGGTTATCGCCTGTCCTTTTCTCCCTTGCAAAGAAAACAGCCATCAACATCTGAAACCTTCAGCATCACCGCTGTGCACGTGTCTCTTACACTGCTGTTTATTTCAGCAGTGATGCTTCACCTTGAGTGAAGAGAAGAGTGTGTTTTAAAGGTGAATGCGTCCTTTCTTAATAAAACGAATATCACATCTTTAGTGCACTGTGATCATGCATCTTATTTTCTGTGATATAGTGCATTTTCACTTTACCATGTAATTCAGTGCACTGGAGTTTATTATAGTCCCTGCAGTGTGTTAGAGCCCTCTGCTGAAAGCTACTATTTGTATCAGTTCAATAGGGTTTACACCGATTCCTGCAGTGTTATCATTGTGCTCGACTGAGTACTGTGGTTATGGCCTTACTGTTTCTTGTGACTTTACTATTTCCATTTATATATATATATAAATGCACAAATACAAGTTAAAAACTTCTGTCACAAAGCAAAAGCTTTAAATTATGAGGTATAAATGTCCCCAACCCGAATATACTGACACAGCCAGCATCAGAAAGTACAAGCTAAATAAATAAAATGTCATCTGAAGTGCAAGGCTGCCTCCAGACTTCACATGGGTCTGCTGGGACTTCCTCCTCACAGCCTGCTGTATCTGTTCTTTACTCTCACTAGGGACACGTCTTCACAATAAAAACTCATCTAACACAACAATGCAGAGCTCCCTTTGGTCTCAAGTCTGATTAAATTAGTAATTGAGCTGCACAATAATAATAGTAGGTTACTGCCAAAGAAGTGTCAGTGCAAGTAGGCATGTAAGACTCTTGCTGCGAAGCACTGTGATCCACTTCACATCTTAGCAATCTCCAGACTCCTACTCAAGCCAAGCTGAGTGTCAGTACACGCATACAGAATGACGTGCAGAGCTAAGATGTTAATAAACATCTTAGCTCTGCATGTCAGATAAAAAAACATAAGATACTGCTTTTCCACATCATCAGAACACTATGTTCCAGGTTGTAGAAGCTGCAATCCGTTGAAAGAATCAGCCTGCTGGGCCAGTGACGGTCTTCTTTGCCTCTTTGTTGTAGAAGGCAGAATCAGACATGTACAGTCTTCAGTTTTTATGATGATAAAATCTGAAGACCAGCATTTCGCAGACACATTTAACTGCTCACTATACAGAGGAAGTTCTGAAGCAGATGAAGAATTGCTTCACGCATGTGGGAAGGGGGTGAACATTGTAGCGCACGTCACACAGTTCACACAATACCGCCAGACACACAAAGCAGGACCTTTCAACCCTGCGGCCTCCCCAGGCCAGGGCCCATCTGGGCCAAACCAGCCAAGCAGCTTCAGAACTGGACGGCTGCAGCTCATTTCTCAGATCGTTCCGCAATGGCAAGGTACAACAGCCATGACCTCACCTCATGCCTGCAATATCTACAAAGTAAATCAGTATTACTTCAGAACAGGCATCCTGCAGAAGTCAAAGGTAAGTTTGTATGAATCACACACTAACATTAGCAAAAAGATCAACCTGGCTAAGTTCTTAACTTCATCACCAATAAATAACCAAGACATAAGCTTCAGGTTTCACAACTAAGGCGTGTATTGCATACTTCTGTCTTAAGGAAGTAATACGTGTTTTTGTATTGTGAACTGTCACCCGATCAATCAAAGAAGTGACACTCTGCCCATTAGTACAAGGAAGTACTTCGCTACAAGCACTGACTGCCCTGCCCTTCAAAGAGAAAAGAACTCATGACACAGTAACATTCACTCTTCCAGTGTTCCACTGTTCACTGAAGCATTTCATTTTGAGTGAAAACAGCCACAGTCTGGGCTAAATGAGAGCAATGCGATGGCACTCCCTCTGTGTAGCAGTGTGATCCATTCCTGGTTCCACCAGCCGAAGGCTGCTGCTCTTACAAGCCAGTGCTGGCTGAGGGATATTTTGAGGTAGTTGCCTTAATTAAAAACAAGTGAATGCAGAATAACGTTTGCATTTTGGTTTCGTCAGTACAGCCTGTATAGCACAGTAACCTGTACAAACCTCTTGCAACTAAAAACAGAACTCACTTTGATCAATGGGAGTCTCTTAATACACACAGAAGCAGGGTAACGCAACACCATTACTGATCTCCAAACAAACAGTTTGAGTCAAAATGCATGACTACACGATAGAGGTCTTGAGCTCAGCTCCAGGGGATGAGCAGACTTGTCTTCAGCATGAATAAGGATGGGGAAAACACATTTCAAACAAGGTTCGCAGCATGTGCCTCAGGTACAGGCAACCTTGACAACCTCAGACAGATTCCCGACTCGGAGGCCACCAGCCACAGCTCTTTCTGTCCTGGTTACAGGACCTGCATCCCGAACAGGCAGCCACAGGTCAGAACCACAGGACAGGCTCTGCGGTGTGAGTTACTATGCAACACTTTGTGGAAGCCACACCAGACCAATGGCTTGGTTCACTAGTTTGCCTCGGGACACAAGCGTGAGGTTCACATTACTCCTCTGCTTGTGTGTTTGTGCAACACTGGATCCCTCAAGCTCCACAGCCAGCTTGTTCCAGTTGTGCACTGCCTGCCAACAGTAATGCTGTTTTCCACAGTGCAGATGGTCAGTTTCAAGGAGGAACAGCCAGGAGCTGCAGACAGCGGAGTGAGGTAGAGGAAAGGAGGACATGTCTACAGCTTTCCAACTGTACAGGCCATCAGGAACAGGACAACACTGACTGAAAACCCTGCAGTGTGCTTGGGATAAACAAATAAAAAACAGAAAGAAAAGCACTTCTACAAGGGACGAGTCTCAGAACAACCAGCTCTTCCAACCACAAAGGCGCTTACTGAAAAAATATTACAAATGCTGTGTATTTAGAATTTGAGAGACATGAAAAAGGAGAAGATGCAATCCACGGCACTCAAATTAAATTAGTGTTGGAAATCAGAACCCTCAGAAGAAAGCAAGCGTGTCCTTCTCACAGCCCCACACAGAGCTTCCTCGCCTTTCTGGACAGGGAACCGTGAGATTAGCACCTTGTTCGTCGCTGAGGTACCTGAGACCAATCAGGCTTCACCACGTTCCTCTTTTCTGCCAGACTGACTCCTGACAGAAGGAGGATCTCAATGAAGCATGAGAATTACACACACTGCAGGAAAGTTCCCCAGACATTTCCAAAGGATGAGACCGTGGCACCTAAGTTGTTTTTCCTCCCCTTTTTGTGCCAAAGTTTCTTTTTAAGGGAGGTGCAAGAAGAGTGCTTACTCCACGTGTGTGGATTAAATAACTTATCCCAGAGGCCTGCACAGACACAGACACTGAGCTGACATGTAAAACATGTTAGAATGAGCTAAAAGGGGCAAATAAAGAGTCCATTGAATCACAATGCTTTCAGGAGCTTCAGCTGCACAGGCCTGTCCCCATAGGAAAAACACCAGCCCCTTGTGACTCAGAGCTCTGCAGTCTCACAAAAGGTCTTTTAAATATAAGTTTTCATGACAGGTGTCATTTGTTATAGAACAACAGGCTCAGGAAGATCCACGGCTCTAGAAGGTTCATTCATGCGGACAGATCTCTGTGTAAATTCACAGTCTCCAGTGGGAAGAGATGGGATGGGAGGACCAGGGTTTTGATTTCTGCAAATTGCAGAGCAGAACCAGAGAGCAGAGCGCAGCACTCTGAAGCCCCGACCGCCCAGATCAACTGTGCTTTTAACTCCTGTTACCTCGGATCAATAAATGCAATTTACTGGCAGCAGCCATGTGCACATGAGCCTTCCTCTTTCTAGCAAGCAATACAGAAGAGGTCGAGCTGTACAGCATTTTCCACAACAACGGTCTCCACTAACCCTTCTCAACTCCATCGCGCAGGGAGAAGGCGATGCTGTTAGAAACGAACACACATGTGCCATTATCACTCGTTCAGGGGCACAGCCACCCGTAGCTGTTCCCAGCAAGATCTCTGCAACTTCGGGGAAATTCCTGCCTGCCCCCCAGGGAGAGGGGAGTCACAGTGAGCCCCCGGCCAGTGGTCAGCCCCCCAGGGAGAGGGGAGTCACAGTGAGCCC